CACTTGATCAAGTTGGCATCAACGATCCGATCCATCACACTCATCGCGGCATCATCTTCATCCTCCACCTTCTTGTCGTTGGCGGGCTCACCATCTGTTGCACCAAAAGCTGGCTTGGTGCCACGCTGCACTGCAACCGTCAAAATCTTAGCCCACATCTGAGGCCACTCAACTGTTGCAGACGGCCCGTGACTGAATGCAAACTGGGCCTCGACTTTCATGATGTACTTCGTGAGCTGTGCCTGCGTCGTCTCAGGTTCAGCCGTGTCTGTTGCCAGCGTGTGCTTGCCGCCCATAGCTTGACATGCCTCTGCAAGGTGCCTGATGATGCTGTGCAAAAGCTTTGTGACGCCCGGCTTCAAGTCTTCGAACATCACGAAGCTTGGATCAACTTTCCGGGGGTTCGTGATGGCTAGCTGCAGCAAGTGAAGCAAGTAGGCAGGCCGACAAAGAAGCAACATGGAGACGATTTCATCTCGAACGGCAAATTGTGTGTCTTGTGCAGATCCCGCAGATCCTTCGCCCGCGACTTGCAACAAGAATCTTGCCTCCTTGGCCATGTTACGGATCATCTCCTGAACAAGCCCGAGACCAAACGCACACAACAACAATAACAACAATCATTCGCACTCACGAGTCACGAGGAGTCAGGCTGTGACGTGAGTGATGCAGCGATGCAGTCATGCCATGCAGCCATGCACATATGCAGTTATGCACTTCGTCGTACATTGTATTATTCTATTCGGCAAAAGCAGTAACATAACATGCTACATGTTAGTTATGTAGTTATGTAATAATTATAACAAATAACAAATATATGTAGCGACCCCTAAGGCCCCTATATCCCGTATCCCCGGGCCCGTATCTGTAGTCATAAGCTCACCAAGCAGTGAAACATATCTGGCCGGCAATGCAGTATAGTAGAGTGTGTCAAATCTCACATCTCACATCTGACGATCCTGCTGCCCATCTGCCGCTGCCAACAGGCAACTGCTCCCCAAGAGTGGCAGAACCCACGGAATCAGATCAACCTGTTCGATCAACATGGCGAGTCCGGCAACGATGTCCGCAATGGTGAACGTGGAATCGTGAAAGTCGCAGTCGCTGTCGTGCACATCCCACCCATCCGTCGGAGCTTGGCATGTGCACATCGTGTTTCGAAAAGATGAGCNNCAGCTGTCCGTACACAGGATGCTTGTTCGGATTCCGGGCAATGTTCTCGTTGAGGAACTTCTCAGCCGTGTGCAGCGTGTCTTTGTCGGTCAGAACCGTCTTGGCAACTGCAACTGGCGTGGAACCAGTGCTCAGGGCACTGAGAAACCGTTGGGTAGCTGCCTCCTCGGCCATGTCAACCTCCTGTGCGAGTTTGTCAACAATGTCCTCAACTGTTGCTACACTCGATCCTGCTGATGGTGCTGACAATGATCCGCTCGATGTCTTCTTGCACTTCGCCATCAGCGCTTGCAGTGCCGGCCGAGCCTCTACGTGACAAGGGCAAGGACTCAAGGAATCAATCACTCTCAACACTCAATACTCAAGGACTCAAGGAACAAACAAGACGGAAGGACTCTGAGTCACATAGACTCCATGACTCATGACTGTCACTCATGACACCATGGACTCCGTGAAGCCAGAATCATGAATGAACAGGACAAGTCAAGCCTTTGGCATACAGGCAGGTATAATGATTCTAACGATGCATGTGAAAATGAGAATAATGCACAATGCGTTCTGCACATGTATGCAATGAACAAGAACAAAGCATGGCTGACTCATGACAGTCAATGACAGTCGTGAGAATTGCAGAGCACTCAGCACCAATGATTAATCATTAGAATCATTAGAATTACAAATCATTTGTGATTTTTTACAGCAGTGGCCTTACTCCAGCAGTTGAGCGCCTTCTTGTTCAACGCAATGCTTCCGGTGCAAGCGAGCTCCAATCCATAGCCCAGCATGGTGCTGTACAATCTGGCTTCCGTCGAATGGAAGTCACCCGGCTTGGGGATTGCAACCTTGCAAGCAGTCACGGCTGACAGCAAGTCATCGAACCACAACCGTGGTCGGAATCCCTCGTGCATCTCCATCAGCACGTCGCTTTGCAACGTTTCCAAGGTTTCACCGTCCTGCAATGCACCCTGCTTGCCAGCTTTGGCTTTGCCCGCAGCCTTTGCTTTGCCCTTGGCTTTTGCTTTAGCCTTGGCTGCCTTCTTGGGTGCTGTTGTTTCCTCCAGTTCTGGAGCTCGCGGGCGCTTTTTGCCTGAGGCACTTGCTGCAGCTGCTGCGGCTTTGGAATTCGCTTTCACAAGCTTCTCGATGAAAACAGCTCCCTCCACCGGACATGCCAAACGCTCCATCGCCTGATTCAAAGCCTGCGAGTTTGCCCCTCCTTTGAACACGTAGGGCAGCAAGCGACTCTTGCTATCCGAAACCGAAGAAGGCAACAAAGGAACCTGGAGCACGTCAGCAGTGACGGAATGCAACGACATGATGGCACGATGCAGATGAAAACGCCACGTGGTGACACAGGTCTAAACTCTGGTCCAAACTGTACAAAGAAGGTCCGCGTATATGAATTTATTTGTGCTTGTATACAGCATCATATCAAGTTAATGTGAATATGTAACTCA